AGCAGCTGGAACAAAGTATCTACATACTCCTCTTTGAACGAGTACTGCTTGGGCGCTCTTTGTTGATTTGGCGCCTTGCCTTGCTTATTCGGCGGTGGTACTCGTGTGTAGTCGGCTGCCAAAGTCTCCTTTCCCTTAGACCGCTGTGCATTTTGCTGATTGCGTTGCTGCTGTGGCTTGGGTTGTGGTACTTCTTCAGCTTTGACACGCGCCACTATCTCCTCAGCTTGTTCTCCTTTTGAAACTAGTTGTCTCCAGGAGTGACATTCTGCCACCCCCATTTGAGCAAGGAGCTGGGTCTGCAGGTTGTGCCTGCAAGTTTCAACCAGAGTTGATTGTGTCATACCTGAGGGGCATCGTAATGCCATGCTGCGGAATCTTTCCACATAGGCCTTGATAGACTCTCCTTTCCTTTGCTTAGTGGCAAGAAGAGTTGGGACCGAGACCTCCGTGTCGTCCTCAAAGAATCTGGCCAAGAATAGCCTTTCCAGGTCTACCCATTTCTGGATAGATCCGGCAGGCAATTTCATGAACCATTCGAAAGCGACACCTTTAAGGGTACCGATGAATAGCCTGGTCAGGATGGCGTCGTTTGCTGCCACATCCCCAGTTTGGGACTTGAAGTAGTAAATGTGCTAATTCGGCGATCCTGTACCATCGAACGGTTGCAAGGTTCGAGCCTTAAACTTCGGTGGGTAGGGAGCTGTATCCCACTCAGCAGGGTAAGGCCGCACTACCCCTTCTTCACGGAGTTCGCTTCTGTTGGCGATTGCGTTAAGGCGAGCCTCCAGCTCATCCACCTTGGTAGATTGAGGGTGCAGTTCTTTCTCCATCTCCTTCTCACCTTCAGAAGAGGATCCCAGGTTGTGAGTCTCACGATCTGAATGTTCGTGCACTTTTTGTTTTCCCTTTGAAGTTGTTCTCCGGGAAGACTCAGGTTTGTGGCCTTTTTCAGCAAGAAGCTGAGCCAACATATCCTTCAATTGGAGAAGTGTCTCCTGTTGCGCCTGGAGCATGACATGATGTTCGTCCACTCTTTTGGCGATGTCTTCGTGATTCCCTGACATGTAAGCGGAGACCTCGCGTGCTCCAACAGAGCTTGAAGATTGAGATTCGGCTATTGCCGAATGCTCCTCACTTGTTGTAATGCCTTTGGCTAACTTTTGATAGTCAACCGGGCGAATAGCTCCTGTCCGAGTCCGAGTATTCTGATATACTCCTTCGAACTGGTCACAAATTTCTCGGACAGTTGGCGGATGACTCTCTTGTGACTCGTCAGAATCAGTATGCGAGGCCTTCCCTCGGCCGATCATGTTGATAGTGACCTGAGGGTATTCCGCTTCAACTGTCTTCTTTCTGTTGCGGCGTTGTCGTTTAGCGGGCCTAACAACGTTCGTCAACCTGTCGAATACGGACTGCCGAGGTGTGGATGTACAACAAGGGCATTCTGACAGGACTGCAGAGATTAGCCTCTCACATTGACATGGATGAGCTGCTTGTACTGTTGGTTTTCCTCTCGACAATAATCCCCGTAGATCAGGAACTTGAGAGGAAACTTTCTCCGGGCTTGGAGGTGGAGATGGAACCCCCTGCCCTTGGGTAGGTGAGATTGGTTCTTGTTGAACGTGGATTTTGAAGCCACACTGACTTTTTTGAACCTGACGGACCTCTTGAAGATCGCGTTCTTGAGAAGTAACGCGAGGGTCGCGTTGGGATTTGAAAACACTAGGCCGAGGCCTGCATTTAAATGATGAACCTGAACTCTGAGAGCCAAGTTTTGGTTGAACGCGCCCCTGAGGGTCGCGTTTGGTTAGTGAAACAGACTCTTGAGAGTCATGTTTCGTTTGAACGCGCACATGAGGGTCACGTTTATTTTGTGAAACAGACTCCTGAGAGTCTTGCTTCGTTTGAACGCGCACATGAGGGTCGCGTTTATTTTGTGAAACAGACTCTTGAGAGTCATGTTTTATTAGAACGCACCCCTGAGGGTCGCGTTTGGTTTTGGCAGCTCCCCGCTGAGGGCTGCGTTTTGACTGCACAACGCGCCACTCAGGGTCGCGTTTGAGCTGTATCAGCCGAGGCTCATAGTTGGGCTCATTGCCACGCAGTGAGCGTTCTTCTTTGGGAACACTAGGCTCGGTTGGATTTTCCGAAACGCGATCTTCGCGTTGGGCCAACAATCGGCTTTCTCGTAAGTGTGCTCGTCGTATGGATCTTCTCCGTCGGCGAGCGGCGTTCTTTTTGGCTTGTTTCAAAGCCTTGGCAGCAACGTCATTGATGTTTACAAGACTCGTCTCCTCCAGAGGCCGTTTGTGGCCCGAAGCATGTCTTGCTGACGCGGATGTGGGATTTTCCGCCAACAAGGCCAGTTTGAGTTCCTGACCGAAGGAGAGGGCTTTCTTCGGCACGTCAACAACAGAATTAACCTTGTTGAAGGTCTTGCGGGTATCTTGCTTAGCCTTGGGGCTAAGTGATCCAGAGGATAATGCTTCCTCGTATTTTGCTTGATCAAACTCCACAACGAGAGTTTCTACTGTTGTTCCCATGAGGTGGACATCGGACTGCGCCACCACTTCCTCGTCGGAAAAGCTAGTCCCCAGCGGAGTCGCCATCTTTTGTTTGTTGGAAAAATTGCAAAGAAGAGAATAAAGAAGATTTGACTTTGATTCCTTTGATCTCGATTACAACTTGATTACAAAAGAGAGGAAAACGAAATTGGTTTTCCCCTTTGTTTAAAACTGGGTTCTTCTCGGTAGCGATGGAATGCCTCCTTCGATTGCTCGCGTCGAATTTGCTCTCCGTTGACGATCCGACTGTCTCTCTCTCGTGGGAACAATGAACTTCTGTGGAAAGTTTGGTGTTTAACTCTGAATGAGTTTTTAAGAACTCTGAACGAGTTTGAACTCTGTGAATAGAGTTGTTGGAACCGAAAATTCGGTTAATGATCAAGCTGTCATTCTGTTGCTGACGAATCCCCTCAGATTTGATCTTCTGAGATTGATTCAAAAATCCTATCTTCAAGGATTTCGCTGCTGCCAAATCTCCAAAACCTGAGTGGTTTTGATCCTTGCTAAATCTTCTGTCTTCAAAGAGCCAGCCGCCAGCCTCCAACTCAGTTGAGTTTGTTGAGCTTTTATAGGGGGATAAGAGGTTGTAACTGACCCCTATATCCGCTCCTACGTGGGTGAAAACCCCTCAGAACGTGGGATAAACGGTTTTGGAACCGTTCGACTCATGTTTGAGTGAGTCAAACGCCCAATCTGGCGTTCAGAACCTCAACTTCGTGTTCTTTGAATTGAGACGCGAAGTTGGGTTGGCGACGTGGGGGTCGCCTTCATTTCCAAAGTGGTGACGCGGGGATGACATCCGCGTCTCAGAATGAGCTATTTGACTTGTAGCTTCTTCTGTGTTGCATTGCAAGGACCGTTGTTTAGTAATCCTAGCTTTAGCTGTTGTGGAGTGTGAAAGTCATCGGATTGTAACTTTCACTGTAGATTGCGAAGACTGCTGAATAGAGTTTTCATCCATTGTCGGAAGAGTCGTTGAATTGTAACTCCTCTCGATCTATGTGAAAAGCCCTCCATTTGCAACTTTCGTTCACCGACCCGAAAGCTATTTGATGGTAGCTTTCGTTGTAGGAGCTAGACGGGAATCAACATCCATAGTGTTTTAAAGATGAATATTTGCCCACAGCTCTCTACCAAGCAACTCACCAACTAAGTCCAACCTTTTATTTCTGAAATCATCCCACTACTCATCAGCATCTCTAATAGTTGTTAGTATAATATTAGTGCTGTTGTCGCAGCCCTCAAGATCAATCATCTCAGAAGTGAGGTCGTGTTTATGACGATTGTGGAGTTGCGGATGCAGTGATTGGGAAGTCGTCTGATTGTGACCTCCATTGTCGGAGCTTGTTTGGATAAGCTATCTATTGTGATTTTTAGACAGCCTACAATCCTACAGATATAGAACAGGTGCATGATGATGATGTTGATGATGACGATCAGATACCAGAGCATGGAGATGGTGATCAAGATCATATACAGGAGACTCCTCAGCAGAGGGAGCATCACCAGCAGCAGGAGTTTGCTGAGCCACAACTTAGGAGATCAGCTAGAGAGCATCGACCATCCACGAGATATCCTTTTTTAGAGTATTCTTTGCTGACAGAAGAGAGGGAGCCATAAAGCTTTTAGGAGGCACATACTCATAACGACAAGGACAAATGGTTCAAGCTATGAAGGAAGAGATGAAGTCTCTTGAGAAGAACGATACTTATGAGTTGGTGGATTTGCCAAAGGACAGAAAAGCTTTGAAGAACAAGTGGGTGTTAGAAGAATGGCTACAAAGAGATTCAGAAATACAAAGCCAGATTAGTGGTGAAAGGCTTTGGTCAGAAAAAGAGCATCGATTTTGATGAGATTTTTTCACCAGTTGTGAAGATGACGTCCATTAGAGTTATCTTGTGGTTAGCAGGTAGTTTAGATCTCAAGATTGAGTAGCTTGAGGTGAAGACTACATTCTTTCATGGTGATTTAGAGGAGGAGATCTACATGGAGTAGTCAGAGGGTTTTGAAGTGAAGGAAAAAGAACATGTGGTTTGTAGGTTGAAGAATAGCATCTTAATTTGAAGCAAACACCCAGGCAGTGGTACAAAAAATTTGGTTCTTTCATGTTAAGTTATGGCTACTAGAGGACAATTGTAGATTTATATGTATATTTCAAAAAAAATTCAGATTCTAGCTTCATTATCCTTTTGGTTTATGTGGACGATATGTTGATTGTTGGTCAGGATAGTCAGATAATCGGTGGGCTGAAGAAGAATTTATTTAAATCTTTTGACATGAAGGATTTGGGCTCGGCACAGCGAATTCTTGGTATGGATATTGCTCGTGATAGGAAAACCATGAAGTTGTGGTCATCATAGGAGATATATGTTGAACAACCACTTGATAGATTCAAAATAAAATATGCCAAGTCATTTAGTACTCCTCTTGCAGGTCATTTGAAGCTTAGCAAAAAGTTTTGCTCGACGACAGATGAGGAAAAGAGTGAGATGGAGAATATTCCTTACTCTTCAGCTGTGGCGAGTTTGATGTATTTCATGGTTTACACTCAGCCAGATGTAGCTCATGCAATTGGCGTTGTGAGCAGGTTTCTTTCTAATCCAGAGAAAGTTCATTTGGAAGATGTAAAGTAGATCTTAAAATATTTGAAAAGCAGTTCTAGATTGTGTTTGAGTTTTGGAGGTTCGAAGTGGTTTTGCAGATGCAGATATGGCAGGTGATCTCGATCACAGGAAGTCTACCTCATGTTGGTTGTTCACTTTTACAGGGGGGATAAGGCATTATTATAATTGTCATATTTTTTCATGCTTATAGTCGCAACATTTTCTTTCCTTTTCTCCTTTTCATCTTGTTTTTCTTTTCTGTTCTCTTATCAATTACTATATAATTAAAGACAAACCTTTTGCAATTCAATTTCAATACCAATAGGAACAGTAATATTTTCAAATTTCTTATATTTTTTGCTGATTCTTTTGAATTTTTATCTAGTTATCCAGTTTTATCTTATCTTTCAAAATTGGTAAATTTCCCAAAACCCCCCCCCCCCTCAAAATTTAGATCTATGTTCATCTACATGTCCTTGAGATACAATGATTTTGTCACATCCCGCTTCCCAAAATACTAGGAAATCGGAACATGAACAAGACAACGATGTATTAGACTGAGGAGAAATAAGTATTAGACATTCTACTCAATTTAATACGCTAAACGTCAAGCAATATAAAGCGAAGGCACAGGTCCCCGATCATAGTATCGAGAATATAATAAACAACTCAGAACAAAATGATACATATCACAACTAAAATTTCATCCGAGACATAATATTCGGGTCAAAATGCCCTTATACAAAACTATCCAACTGAATACTGGAGAGATATAAAAATACATCGATCAAACAGAAATAGAAAGGTGCTACAAAGATAAACAAGGACCATCGAACAACTAAAGGAAATAACTAAGCTTCGGTTTCTTCTTCTATTCTATCTGTAAAGCACTCCTGCTGAGAATACTCTGGCTCCTGCTGATGCTGAACCTGTCTGTCCTCTAAATCTGACATACAACCCGAGAGAATAGGAGTACGTCAGTGTGCATGGCACACGACAAGATACTAAAAAGAAGAATAGAAACGATCGAATGACCAATGCAATAACAGTAAATAAATAAAAACATGTAGTTGAAATACTAACAATCTAGGTGCAATCCATCACTATAGTATAACAATCAGAAGAATCCATAAACATCTGGGTAACAAGGTCATATAACTAGATGGAATTAATACTTAAAAATCTACAACACGAGTCGTAGTACGTCGAGCGAAATAATCCAAACAAGGAAACCCTCATGTATAAATCATATGTATTAAATTATAGATAATTAAATATTAATCCCGATCTATGTATGAAAAGAAATATAACTAGTCCACATCTCACCAGAATTCATAATCATCCACGGTGATAATCTATATAAGGTGATATTAAAGGAAATTCTAATTGTAGATATCAAACAAAACCTGCCATAGGACACACAAGCATATTATTCGTATTTTACATGTTATTTGAATTGGAGAATAATATTTTAATATATATAATCGGGTCCCTGTAAATCTGTCCGGGGGCCACACCTTCAAGTTAAGAATTGGTCCTTTGGTCCATGTATATATATAACTCGCGATATCAGGAAAGCGCTTGTGCCCATTTATATACATGTTATATTCTCCGACCATTTCCACTTTATAAACCCCATGTTTGTCAGTTTAATTTAAGTAATTATACATAAAATATTATGCACTAACCACGGAGTTATCATGGAACGACTTTTGTAAAACTATAAAAATAACTGTTACCCATAACACGTCCGATCAAGAGTCCATCGTCTAGTCGATTCTATAATAGTAATAGTAAAGGAAACCTCATATCGGGATATCAATATCAAGGGAACTCAGAACTCCTCACATTGGGATATCGATGTCGAGGTGAGTATAACCATGCTTTGAAGCACGCTTATAAATCATATTTTTTTACAAGAGTCGTCTTCATGTACAGTATCTCCTATTGGATAACAACTAGGTGATAAAGTAACAATTTCAATAAAGTCATTCATCAAACAAATCTCACGCATGTAATAACATATCACAATCTAATCTATGTATGTAATTCATAATAGATCTAAAATTCTAATAAATGATAATTAAAGAAAATGTAAATTCGCACGTACTTATTTCACGATAAATATATGAATTATAATAAACTAATTTAGAATCGGAATCCTACGCATAATTAATAGATCTAAAATTATATGGAATAATAACGAGAACAGGGATTATGCGCATAATTAATTTATGACAAAACTAAGAATTAAAATGAATGAGAAAAATCATAGAAAAGGGATCTTGCCTACGAGTTTCTATCAAACGTATCGACGTTGATGAGCGAGTCCAAGGGTGAGGCAGCGGCGAGCGTCGGTGGTCGGCTAGGTTGAGGATGTGGTGGAGCTAAAAGAGGGCAGGGCTGCAACGGGTAACGACGAGCCTGAGGAGGGTGGCGCTGATATGGGGAGGCGTTGGAGGTGAAGCTCGGGGANGTTTGAGAGGGAAGAAAGAGAGGAGAAGGAGAGAGTGAAAGAGAATGAGAAGAGAGATGAAGAGAGAGAGAAATGAGATCTGAGGGAGAGTGAGAGATAGAGCACGTGAAGAGAGAGAGAGAAATAATAGAAGAGAGAGAGAGGGTGGTTGCGTGAAAGAAAACAACAGGGAGAGAGATATATATTTATGATATTAGGGTTAGGGTTTAGGGAAAATCAATATAAATAATTAATAACAATAATAATAATAATAATAATAATAATAATAATAATAATAATAATAATAAATTCAAATATTAATTTAAAGAGTTTTTACCTTAATAATTAAATTTATAATTAACAAAACTATTAAAACCGAATTTTTAAATCATAGAAAATTCTAGAAAATCAAAAAAATATAAATACTCTTTTAAAGATAATAATTTAATATTTTAATATACCAAAAAAATTATTTAAACTAGTATCAAGAATTCATTGTCATTACATTCTACCCCACTTAAAATAAATTCTGTCCTCGGAATTAAAGTAAGGGTAATGCACAAAGAACCCAAGGATAGATATGGAATGATATCCATAAGCAGAGGAGAATGTAAAATAATAACGTCACAAAATATAAGATGTGATAGCTAAGATTCAGCATACATATAGCAGACCATAATAATAATATCATAACACATAGGAATCAATTTTTTTTATAAAGGTGGATAGGAAATTACTTCAATCATTAAGATAACATAACATCAATTAAATAATATATACATGTCAAAGGATAAAATTATAATCTCACAATCAGTTCATAATATCAATATAGTCAGACACACTTCGAAAAATAAATTATAAAATATTTATCAAAAGTCGTAGCAATAGACATATAACAATATAAAAATAAATACTCGTATACTAATATAAGGTGATATCAAGAAATTAAAAATTAATACATAAAAGAACAATTAGTAGTGTATGAAAAATTCATGTCATAATATATACAGCTGTATCACAATCATAAAATATGCTAATATTTAGTACACATGAGACACAGAAGGTGACAATTATCTTAAAAGAAATACATAGAAATATAAATATATGTATCATAATAACATGAATACATATGCATAATACACGAATCATTCAAAAGTATGGAACATATATCACATACAGCAAGATTATTATGATAAAAGATATACTGTAACTAAAAACAAAAAGAATTATAAATCGCGTAATTATCAATTAAGTAATGGGACAAGGAATCAGTCAACATAATAAGAATAAATATATCTATAAAGTAATAAAAAAATCAATTGTATGAATTATGTAAAGTAAATTATTATCACACAAACAGATATAAAATCAATAATCATGTTCAGTTGAAATCATGAATATTATTTGTCAAATTAACAAAAAGGCACATAAAATCAAAAGAATTAAGATTTACACAATCAATAATAAGAGTATTAACGTAAATCATATATATGTATAAAATAAATCAAGTATGTAAATTCAGAATAATAACATAATAAACAGAGTCACATAAATCAGTTAGAATATAGAAAATGAACAAATCAAAATCATTTAACTAATAGTTAATATTGTTTGTAAAATCAAGGCAATTATTTTTAAAATGATCAAATAAGTATATTAATACACACAAAACACACAACTAATAAAACTATATTAAAAATATAAGCATAAAAGAATCCACACCAATAAAAATACATTGTAAGAGTAAAAGAAAAATAAAATGTAATTAATAGTAAAATCAATACAAAATAGTAATATAAAAAATACATTTCAACAAAAGGAAATATATGCTTGAATAGAAAGTAATTACATTTTATAAAATCAGAAGTGAAGTAATACAAAAGCATAGTATAATCAAAGTAAACAATAAACATGCACTTAATCACAACAAGCACGTAAGAATATAGTAAATACATAAACAGTATCAATAAATTCATCACCATAGAGAGCAATGTATGTATAGTAAAATACTATCGTAAACCGAATCAATGCTAATAAAGGGAAAAGCACATACATAATAATAAGCATACAAAAGTCTGAATACTCATACTACTAATCATGCTAATAAGATAAATTATGATGAAAATAATCATAAAATATTATATGATAAAATAGACATAAGAGTAAACAAGTGATTCAAAATAAAAATATTATATAAAACATAATAAAAATGACATAATTATATATATTCGACAAAAAATATGGTAAATAAGAAATATTAAAAATATTCATAAGATAAAATAATAAATATAAACAAGATACAACAATAATAATCATTACTGTATAAAATTAATTTAGATGTAGCAATATATTGTATAGTAGTCAAAATCATATAAATACAATCAACATAAATTCGTATAAATAAAACACCGACATATTTTAGATAAACATACCATGAATGATTAATGACATGTGAACATAAACACTGATAATACATAAAACAAAACAGGATTAGACAAAGTTGATAAATGACTAAAAATTAATAAAAAATATACATCATAAATATAATAATCTATGTGAATACACTATAATGAAAAAGAGAATAGTAAGTATAAAAGAATGAAAAAGTAAAACACAACACAAGTAAACGAAAATAATGAATAGAGAATGAACAACAAACAATGACACAAAAAGAAAATCTATAAACACTATAAAATAAATACTAAAAACAATATATGTATACAATGTATATTGTCCATATACTATTTTGTCATTTGTGGTAATATACATGTCAAAAACGAAGCAAACAAACAATAAATATGAAAATATACTACAAACAACACATGAGTAAATACCATACATACC